AAAAAAAAATTATGGTTCAGTAATCTGGATATTGGTCAATCTGTAGTTACATACTTATTTTAAGGAGCATTTATTGGTAACAATAGCCTTCTGGGTTTTCCGTGTTTTGGGAGTGATCATCAAACATATTCACAGGTCATCTTTTCCCAGATTGTAGCAAAACCAGTTTAGGAAGTTTTCTATCCTACTGCTCCATGTGCTACAATTCAGTTTGAAAGCAAACCTCTTAATACATATGTCAGTATAAATGTTAATTTATTGAGTTGCATGGGAAAGTGTTCTGGTTTTAATTTTATCTTCAAGCAGTGGCATTTCTCGATCACATTTAGGTAGCTTATAATATAAATTTTGTCCAAAAATAAAATTATTTTTTGTGTTTAGAATAAAAATGCTCAAGTATTCTTTATTTGACGTGTCCTGTAGAAATTTCACCTAAACTTTCTGTAATTTTAGAAGGAAGTGAGTGCTAAATGACTAATTCATTTTGTTTCTTATTTCAAACAGAAGGAACAACAGAAGAAAGTGTTTTCTGGAGAATTATCCTGGTTTATATTTAGTCTGGATTGAACTATTTCAGTGTGCAGTCATATGCACACCCTTCTACCTGGCCTCATCTTCACTGTGAACTGCTGAGTGTTACTGCAGGTACAGAAAGCGCCACACACAAAAGAACCTCTGATGAAAGACACCGGACAAAGATTTTGTATCTGACTGATTCAATGTGAAACGAAAAAAATCAGGTAAGGAAAAACATATGCCATGAAAATATACAAATGATTCACTGTATTCTAGCCAAAGAAACTAAGAGAATATACTTGATAACTTACCTGGGCACATAACAACAGTGGATGCTTGTTATACAGTAAACTTCACAATTTACAATGAGTCACCTGGAAATCATGTTAGCCAGAGAGTCCTTAACCCACTCCTCATCTTGCATAGGGGATTTATTTTCTAGCTTTACTGGTACCAGAAGCGTATTTTCTGAAAATAGGTTTTTGCTTTGTAGTTGCAATGAAGTCAATGAGCTGCTCATGCATATTTAAGCCAAAACTACCCTCCTCCTTCGTTTGGCTGGGTTTTTTTGGGGGTCTTATGCCTGTTCTTCATTGATACCCAGGGCTGCCCTTTCCTAAGAACCATAAACAGGAAATGTAGGATTTTTTAACTACACATCTGCCATAGATAAAAAATTAGCAATAACCTGAAAGTGTATGGAAAAAAACCCCCACATTTAAGCCAGAGGTACGTGCATCAAAACTATTATACAAATTAATTGATTCTGTCACAAAGCAAACATTAAAATATTTAGTAAGACTCTAGAAAGACTGGTGAAAGAAATCTAGAAAGATTGGTAAAAAAGAAACACTTTATCCTAAAATAAAATTTTTGGTTCACCTGAAGACTACATCCTGTGAAGTACAGATAATCTGTTTTCATTAGTTCATTTTAAAAGACAAAAAAAACCCCAAAGAACAATTTTGGTAGTTTAAGCCAGATTTACAAATTCAGGATTTACAGAACAATATAGAGTTCTGCATGTATGTGCTTTATATATTTCACCATCATGACAACTAAGAGAGAGTTATTGTCAAGCAAACATTATTTCAGGATACAGAGATACTTTGCTATGCCGCTATTAATTAAACATATTTAATCTTTGTTTTTATTTTTCCTGCAATTTCTCTTCACTTTATTCTAGTGAGCCTGTCTTGACTATTTCTGTGCTTCCAGAGAGCTGTCATCCCATTCTGGCAACCTCCCTTGTTCTGAACGTTTAATGTAATTTAGAGGTTTGGTATTCATACATGTAGTATATTGTTCATATTTCTAGATGAGAAAGATTTCATCTTATCCCCCATAAAGGCTGTGAGAAACCATATAAAGAGGACAGTACAAATAATCTTTATCCATTATGATTTATTCTCTACAATACTTCATTAGAGGATAGAGTTCAATTATTTACACTCAGAAGTTATTATATAGATAGGAGGCAACCAAGTGTAATACAAAGAATTGGTCTGACATCTCTGCACTGAAGGTCAAAAGAGGTCTCCTGCTTTAAGGAAATAAATTAACCAAAAAAAAAAACCCCAACAAAACAACATGTAGTTTCCAGAATACAAACAGAAAACAGCACTAATAGTCAGTGAAGATTGGAGATGTTTGTTAATGTACTATGAAAACAAATTATTCTGTGCAAAGGTTAAAACGAACTTGTAGATTTTCTTACAGATTTTTTTTTGTTCTGATAAATTGTAGATATGTGATATTTTGACCATAAAACATTCCCAAACTGAAATGGCCTCAGTTGAGATTGACTGTTGAACATTATGAAAAAAAAATAATTAAGAACCTCACAGTGGAAACATTCCAACACTGACAGACTCCAGTGATCAAAGACATTCTCCTGTAGTTACTGTAAAACAAAGACAATTCATAGTTGCAGTGAGATTATTTCTCAGTTGTGGTTGTCATGAGAATAAGCCCTTCTAGACCAAAAGGCACTTGCTTCTAAGGATGAGTTAAATCCAGATCAAACCAGGTAACAGTTGCTTTGAGGAGTAGTTCTAACCTGCTGTCCCCGCTGAGTAACCACAGAGAAATTCTTACATCAATTGGTCATTGATTTTCATTGCCTCCATCTTGAGGCAACTCAAAGTACATTTTGTTTCTAGTTCACCTCTTTCATCCTTATGCATAGCTGCCATGTAATGATCTAGAAATGGGATTATTTCCTGAGACCACCTGTCCTTGTCATACATTTTTCTGAGCTAACTTAACTATTGACACACTTTTCAACTGATTTTATAGCTGGACCCTTACGGGACTAAAGCTAAGAGGGCCTGTTTCTTAGGTAGCAGACCAGTGTTTCTGATTTGCTAGCTTCTCTTCTCACTGCAACAAGACGAGAACACAGTACATATTTAGAGGCATTTTTGTTTTTTGTTTTTGTTTTTTTTTTTAAACAGACTGAGTGGGGAAATGGAAGTGGGAGAGGATAAGGCTTCCCCAGTCCCAAACCATCTAGCCCACTTCAGGCTTAAACCAACCAAGTCACTCAATCCTAAAATTCTGTTCTTTAAAAATGACAGTTAACCCTCCCCTCCCCACCCTACCCCACCCCTTAGTCATCCCCTATTCAAATAAATGAAACCAGGAAAACACTATACACTGTTGAAGACACAGAACAGGGCAAACATTTGAAAAAGAAACAATATTGTTGAAAAGCCTGGCACTATATGCCTGCATGACCAGTCTCACTGAGCGTGCTCAGGGGTAGAGTTTTAGCACCATTTTTTTTGCTTTTTTTAAACCTGTTATAAATTAAATTCTAACATAGAACACTTGAACAGTAATGAGTGTAGCCCTATGTATCATACTGTTTGACAGCTGAAGGGTGAATGGTATGTCCAGAGCTGACACCACCCTCCCCCATCACTACACGGCACCTAGGAGAGTAATTACAAACCACTCGAGTTTGTAACAAGACCAATTTATTCTCAGCAGCAGGAAATCATGAAACAATCCCTTAATCTTCAGTTGCTTTTCAAGAACATCACAAGGGAAAAGTGGCAATTTGTAAGAATGACCCAGTACAGGAGGAAAGCTGGGTCGATATTGCACCGTTATCCAGAATAGGACCCCCTCCTTTCCCTCACATCTCTCTCCTCCAGCAGGAGAACGTTGCACCAACATGAAGCAAAACTGCACAATTCTGTTTGCTTCTCTAGGACCAGAAGGAGCAGCAGGATGCAGTTCTGAGCTTTCTACCAGCCCTATTCCCTGCCACACCAGGAGAGAATTTCAGTCTCGAAACACCAGCCAATTCTAAAAGCCATCATTACCACACACAAGCAAGCTTTAAAGATATATGCAACCAAATAGCCATTACTCTGCTATGCACCTGTATTTTCTTTCCTGATCATTGTTGACCCTCCAGAAACTTGGAAAACAAAACAAAAAACCAAACCCCAAATTATATTTTGAAGTCCTGTGACCTCATTGAGACAGTGTCATAATTTGGAGTTTATGACATGCCTCAATGACGCTGCAGAATAACAACTGGATAACTTCTCTTCCTCTTAGAAGAGAGTATTTTTTGTAATCATCAATGATGGGAGAAGAAATACAGAATGCACATGAGTTTCACACAGTTTGGGTAATGCAGATTTTCCCACTCATTGCCTCGATGTGGTAACGACTAAACTGTCTAAGATAATAACTTTACCAGTGAAACTACATAGCTCTATTCCATAGGCCTGCTATAAACTGGAATACTCACAGTTCTCAAGATCGGTAGTCACACCAGAGAAAGTGGCTGTCCTATCAAAAGGAAGGTCCCCGAGACTGTTAGCTTAAGTTAAACAAATTTCAGTCACTAGTCTCACCTGTGTGACTACCGTCAATGCCCTGCAAAGCCCTCCCCATCCCTAATCCAGTCAGGCTCTGGTACAAATGTTTGGGCACAAAACTTGGTCATAACACAGAAGACTGTCCAGAGACACTCAATTACTTTGTCCTTCACATACACAGCATGTGCCATGTTGCTCTCTTACAGGCATAACAGCATTCTGTTTCACAGCAGGCTGCATAACAAAGCACTGTCTAACAACCCAAAAAACTGTAAACCAAGAGGATTTATACAGAATCCAGCCTACAGTGGGATCTGATAATTAAAGCCTTCTAGGGTTTATTTAAATAATGGATTCATCTGCAATACCATCCAAAGGTTTTTCACATCTTGCAGTGTTTTCTGTCCGTGAGGATGAGGTGCTATCCAGATGTTCAACCCTCCCCAATATCATAATGTCCGCCTGTGATGTGTGGGGACTGCAATCAGCTCTCAGTACACAACAGATACCAGAGGTTAAAAAAAAATTAAAAAGAACCTAAAAAATGTTTTGTTGGACTCCGTTGCCCAGGCTGCCAGGGGAATGCTCCTACTTGATCTGGGGGGCTTCCATAACGAACAACTCAAGTTTCCAGAGTGTCGGTAACACACAAGAACGGATCAGTCTGAAGTGGCACTTTCATTCCTTGAGGTCTTCTGCACCTCAGGACAGTTCATAGGCATGGAGCCCCAATCCAACTGAACCCCCGTTCAGAGGGAAGGCTGAGATAAGGCTTGGGCCCCTGAAGTTCTGTCACGCTCTCATCCTCCCCCCAGGTCAGCTGGAAGGCAGACTTGGCAACGGAAGCTAGCATCATAAAATGGTGCAGTAATAGAAGTAACTGGACCAGGAAGAGGAGGCATCTGCCCCAATGATGTCGTAGCCGTTGGCAGCAACTGGGGAGTGGGACTGGTCATGCAGCCGTGTGTCAGGAGTAATGATTGTAGAGGGGAGGGGCATGAAGAGTGCCATTCTGGAAACAATGCTGACGGGAAGCCATGTACTCCGCGTAACTGATTGTCACCTTCTCACTGCGGTACCTATGGGAACAGCGTGAGAAAAAAATAATGTAAACAGATTATGCAATATGAAGGGCCTAGACATGAAAACATTCAACACAGATCACCTTTTAGCTCACAGCCAATAACGACCAAGAGGAACCCACTAACTTCAAAAACTACTTTCTTTGATATTGCCTCATGCAGTAGTCTGAATAACCCATCTAAGCTTGAATTAGCTTCAGTGCCCCAGAAGTTGAGCCCTACTCAGGGCAACCGTAATTATGGGGACTCCTGAAGTAGCACATAGGAAACAAATGATCCATTTGTATTCTTTTTATCCACTTGTTGTGGAAAAAAAAAGGGCATATAAAGTTTGCTGGAAGACGACTCAGTTTCAGAGCTGACTAACCAGTATTTCACTATTATTTACTTTTGTGGTCATCTTCACATTTGAAAGGCTAGTGAAAGAAAACGACGGAGAGCAGGTAAAGGGAAGTTTATTATAGCATGTATGTGACTTAGTCCCTATTGCACAATCAATTCACAAAACATGAAGTCCCCTCTGGGAGACCACAGATTTCCAGGTGCTTCTAAAGCATGCTACACAACAGATAACTTCAAAGTGGTCACGAATTATACTAAGTCCACATTACACCAGATTTTAATAAAACCTTCATCCTGTCCTCTCCTGTTAAAAAAACCCCTGCATACCCACCTCATTTCTCCAGAGGTAAGGAACGACCTGATAAATTAGTGTTTCTATACAAAACCAGAATGTCCCAATTTTTACTAACATAAAGGGAGTTGAAACCAATAGGACAGCTGGGGGTATAGAAAAGCAAGGAAATTCTGAAAACCAGCCAAATTTGAGTGTGGTTTGGTTTTAAGACAGCTGTCACCTCCAAATAGCTACAGTATCCACAGAGGAGCACACTGAGAAAAGGAAGTCCATTGTTGTCCTGGTTTTGGCTGGGACAGAGTTAATATTCTTCCTGGTGGCTGGTATAGTGTTATGTTTTGGATTTAGTATGAGAATAATGCTGATAACACACTGATGTTTTTAGTTGTTGCTAAGTAGTGTTTATACCAAGTCAAGAATTTTTTAGCTTCTCATGCCCAGCCAGCAAGAAGGCTGGAGGGGCAAAAGAAGCTGGGCGGGGACACAGCCAGGACCGCTGACCCAAACTGGCCCGAGGCATATTCCATACCATATGACGTCATGCCCAGTATATAAACTGGGGGGAGCTGGCCAGGAGGGGCGGATCGCTGCTCAGGAACTAACTGGGCATCAGTCAGCACATGGTGAGCAGTTGCGTTGTGCATCGCTTCTTTTGTATATTCTAATTCTTTTATTATTATCATTGTTATTATTTTCTTCCTTTCTGTCTGTCCTATTAAGTTGTCTTGATCTCAACTCCTGAGTTTTACTTTTTTTTTTCCCCCCTCCCACCAGGTACCGGGGGGGAGTGAACAAGCGGTTGCATGGTGCTTAGTTGCTGGCTGGGGTTAAACCATGACAATTGTAAAGATACAGAAAAATCAACCTTTTTAACTTCCAAAGGTTCTGCTTCTTTTGATCCTTCATGTGATGATAATATTAAAAACCAGCGGCACTTCTCTTAGAAAATGCTAACTTTGACTCTGGATGGACCAAACATTGTGCTTCATTCCATATACATTGTATGCCTAACACGGGGCATTTATGATTTTGTCTTTCAGACTACATCTCTCATCTGAAAGAGGCATGAAGACTTACATCATGCACAAATACTTTAAATTACCCACAAAACACTGTAAAGTAAAATTAGAAGATGACAAATATATTAACTTACCTGGTGAGTTTAATTGTTTTCCTAAAATCATTGGTAATCGGAGCCTTAAAGCCACCTTTCCTGAGTAAGGAGTCTATGGTCTGGATCTGATCCCAGTCTATTGAAAAACAGAAGGGAGATTTTTCAATATAAAAATGATGTTTCAAAAAGATAAGAGATGCATTAAAAGGCCTCTAGAAAAGCAAACAACTTAACAGGAAAATTTGAGCTTTAGAAATACCAGTGTTGAACTGGACATACATGGTCTCACGCATGCACATTATCTGCACATGGCAACCCCTTTTAACTCATATTGGAACTGGTCTATAAAACAGTAATTCCATTTTCCATATGACCTCTCTTCTTACAAAGGTCTGTGCCTTGCTTCTGTTGCAGGGACCCCAAACTGTTTAATCATGTGCCACTCAAGTTTAGCTCTCTAAGCCTTAAAATAAGATAATACTTAGCTCTTTACATAGACAAACTGGAATCAACCTGATGCTCTAGTGATAGCACAGTGCACTGCTATGTGAGAGATCAGAGTTAAAATTCCTACCTTAGTCTTTTGCCCCAGAGCCAGGAGGATGCGACCACTCCACTCTGCTAGGTGGAGGAAAGGAGGCAATATTTTGAGCAGTTACCATGGTGACCGCTACTATATTTGAGTGGGAAGTGTGCTCCAGAGGGGCCCTGTTTCCTGCCCTCATCTGGAGGATGCTACTTTAGCAAGAATGAGGAGGAAAGGGACTCTCCTGTTGGTGCTGTGCAGCCTGCAGTTATCCTAGTTGGTGGGAGAAACATAGAAGAGGAAAGATGCAACGCTGAATGAAGCTGGAAGATCCATACTTTGAGATCCTCTATTTCTTAAGCCCTAAAACATTTTTACACTAAGATACAACTGTGCACAGATGTGGGATGAGAGAAAGGCCAGATGAAAACCCAGCAGCAGCTGTATCAGGAGTCAGTTATCCAGATTAAGCCTGGCGGCTCCATGGCACTACTACGAGGATAGCATTGCAATCCAAACCCAAAATGCATAGATTTTTGTTACCCAACTCTGTGACACAATGTGTTGACATGTTTGGCTGCCATCTCAAACCCACCTTGTTCCTTAGCAACCTCAGGTAAATACGTGGCTGTGCGTTTGACACCTTTCTCATTGATGAACTCTATTCTGATCCCATGGATCCCAACCTATAGATGGAAATGAATAGCCAAATAAGAGGTGTTTGCTAGCACTGAGTCCGTGATTGAGCTGTCATTCCCACACCACTGTATATCTCTCCGTCTACGGCCAGTTTGGCTTTTGCCTGGATAAGGACATTCTCTTCCCCACTCTCTGTCCTTGCCAGGCAGGTCTCACAAGTAGCTCTCTTAGCAGCATAAAGGAGCTCTGCCACCTTTCCCAGACAAGCCTAACCAGTCTTCCTGCCACGTCTCCTGAAGTAAATCTTGTCAGAAGTCGACAGTTTTCCATCTCTTACGTTGGGCAAGAAAGACAAGATCTCTGCACAAGAGTCATGCCTAAAACAGCCCAACCACAAAGTCTATTTAATCCTTCTTAAACTAAATACACTTCCATGTACAAAGTCCTAAAAACTTATTAATACCTTCGGTCTTAACTACTTTTTGTTCCCAGTTTCTATTCACAGCATCAAAATACTTCCCAGGTTTTTATGTATGTATTTACACCCATCTCCTATTGGGCCTAATATATAAATCACTTTCATGTCTCTTTTATTCCCATTCAGATCCCCTCCCAACCAAAAGCATACTGCTAGCCCATCCTCCTCCGCCCTTCTATTCTTCCAGCATCATTTCTTCTATTCCAGTTTCAATACCTGTACACCCCTGTAACAAAGGAGACGCATCACCATGTACTAACCCGAACCCGAACGGAACGAGAGAGTAATGCAGAGTTCCAAATGCACCTGTTCTCACCTCCCAGTCCAGGTAGTCACTGGCATCCTCAAAGTTAGTGAGGAGGGAGACAGAGCAGAAGAGTTTGGGCAGCTCCTCGCGGGTCAGGGGGGGAAATCGGCTGTCCTTAAGTGCACTAAAGGGAAGAAAAGACATGTTGCCTAATACAAGCACTCAATTAAAGTGTCAGATGTTCAATTATTCCGTTTTTGATTATGCCTCTGTGAAACATGTTACTTTTTGCTACTGCACAGAAAGCGATTTGCATCTCTTCCTAATCTAATGAACCATAATACGCAAACACTAGTGCAAGGTTCCTGGTGCTGTCCTCCACTTACTGCAGTTGGAGAGAAATTATGTGCTACGTAAGATGTCAAAACTGTTAGTATGCAAGACAGATTCAACATTAGCCTTAAAACGTGAACCAAAGTACACCTGTTGCAAAGCTGTTCCGCTAAATCCTGAAATATTACCTCACCCTAACTATCATACATTTCTCAGGCTTACTGTATTGTGAAGCATATTAAATTGAACTATGTCGATCCAACATCTTAACCTTGAATCCTTATAGATCTTCAGCAAATTAAACTAATTTCAGATTTACTTCATTTTCAACATAATTACCTGGTTAATGTGTATTCCCTGAGTCCTGAGTGAAGATTCATGGCTGAAAAGGTCCCAATGCAGCCACGAAGCCGCTTGTCTCGCCCCGTCTTCCACGTCACAAAGAGTGGACTGAAAAGGCAAAAAAGAGAAACACTCCAGCCTCTAGAGATATTTGGTTACTAAGGGGAGACCAGCAAGGTGTAAAAGAGCATGTACACGTGCACTTGTTTTCTCTCCCTCTAATAAACCCCGATAGGCATGTTTTCTCACTTGCTATCTAGCAATAATAAAACCCACCCCCACCCCCCCTCCACATGCAAAACCCAACATCTCCCCCAACCTTTCTGCATACTCCTTTCTCTCCACCAGTACTCTGTAAGCTCTCCACTAACAACTTCCTGGCCAGACTCTGTGCTGTCTTCTAATGAGTAACATAGTTATTTGACCCCACTGATTACCTCTGTGAGTAATGGCCTCACTTAGTAGCATCCACTAGTTTACATGACAACCCATATAAAAATTAATATAGGTGAAGCAAATAAGATTACTTATTTATCATAAAATGGAACCTGAAAGATCCCCAGGCATTCTACAAACCATCTACAATTCAGGTTTGCAATAACAGCTTTCCTGTTTTTGTTTTGTTTTGGTTTTTTTTTGTTTTGTTTTGTTTTGTTTTATTAAGGGATAAAAAAGTTTTTTTTTTTTCCCCCCCTGTTACTTCCATGAGGATCTGACTTCTAGGTCCATCCCTAGTGCTCAAACAGTTTATATTCATATCTTCTGCTTACCTTACATTTGAATTATATTTACATAGATTCTCTCCTGTTGAACACATATCTAAATCACTATATTGTTCCTACTCAAACATCACATGCATTTTCATTTTCCTGTCTACTATCATGAATTTACAGGCATTAACAGTAAATTCTCAAATTCCGCAGGCTCATTTCAATCTGTTAAACTAGAAGCCATGATTAAGCCCCAAAAAGCAAGAACCACACAAACAACAGTATTCAGAAGAGCTCTATGAAGAGGTAAACAGGTAAAGACGACTGTGAATATGAAATGCAAGAAGTTCACTTCTACAGAAGTGAGTGAAGTTGCAAAAAGCTGTAGATAGCAACAGTAAAGAAAGGACAGTGGTGGCTGTAGCTCTACAAGAATATCCAAACAGCTGGAAAATTTTGCAAGGCAACTGATGATACTGATCTAATTATAAAAACAGCATGACTGATGTTACTTTTTCAGATTACAGAGTACTGAATACAAGATGTGGTCACTTCGAACCCAAGCATAAATGAGAAAGTTAGTCATTAGTGATTTCCAAACATCAGTCTATGGATTTCTACTGAACTTTAAAAGGAAAGAAATACAATAGAAAACATGCAGTGTTAAGAAAATAATTTTCTGAAATTAAACAAACATTGGCAGGAGTTGTAAAACATGAAAACAGAATAACTGATTCAACACCAGAGTGCAGACACTTACTTTCCTCAAACTCTTGAAGCTCTTGTAAGCAATACATTTTTGCAGAAAACATTACAAAAAATATGAAGGGATTCTGTTTGAACAACAAAACCAGCATGGAGAATGGATGATTTCTCAAATACAGGCAACAGACTCTTATGTCTAAATAGTTAGAACATTATTTAAATTGTAGTCATAGAATCATAGAATGGTTCGGGTTGGAAGGGACCTTAAAGCCCATCTCGTTCCAACCCCCCTGCCATGGGCAGGGACACCTCCCACCAGACCAGGTTGCTCAAAGCCCCAGCCAACCTGGCCTTGAACACTTCCAGGGATGGGGCATCCACAGCTTCTCTGGGCAACCTCTGCCACTGCCTCACCACCCTCACTGTGAAGAATTTCTTCCTGGTATCTCATCTAAATCTTCCCTCTTCCAGTTTAAAGCCATTGCCCCTTGTCCTATCACTCCCTGCCCTTGTAAAAAGTCCCTCCCCAGCTTTCTTGTCGGCCCCTTTAGGTACTGGAAGGCTGCTCTAAGGTCTCCCCGGAGCCTTCTCTCCTCCAGGCTGAACAACCCCAACTTTCTCAGCCTGTCCTCATAGGAGAGGTGCTCCAGCCCTCGGATCATCTTCGTGGCCTCCTCTGGACTTGCTCCAATAGTTCCATGTTGTTCTTGTGCTGAGGACCCCAGAGCTGAAGGCAGTACTGCAGGAGAGGTCTCACCAGAGCAAAGCAGAGGGGCAGAATCCCCTCCCTCGACCTGCTGGTCACGCTGCTTGGGATGCAGCCCAGGGTATGGTTGGCTTTCTGGGCTGCCAGCGCACATTGCCGGGTCATGTTGAGCTTCTCGTCAACAATTTTGTAGTGACGAAGCAATGCTCAGTGATGTTCCTCAGAGCAACAATGGGATTAAAAAACTCTATCACAGCGTAAATCCATCATTCAGGATCTAGTTACCAGCTGTGACCAACAGCAGAAGTACTACCCAAAATGGCAAACAGACTTTAAGTGATAATTGTGAAGTACTCTGCGCACAGAGGAAGCGGAAACATTCTTCCACAACCATCAGCCACCTTATGCTTGCTTGATCAAGACAGAGGATTTACTGTTCCAGTTTTCCAACAACACTTCAAGGCACTTTCAGGATATCATTCCTCTACATTTTCATCTAGCCACCATATGTTGAAACAGAAAACAGAAATGAAGCATAAGAAAATACGTTAGAAAGCTTACCAAAAAAAGATATTAAACTTACAAAGGAGATTTTTGAGAAACATTACGGTCACAAGCTCAGTGGAAATTTAGCTTAATCTAATTAAAGTTCTGAAACATTACTTAGCCCATGTGACACTCACCCTAAACAGAAAAGGGAAAGGAGAAAATCAAAAGCATCACTAACAGAATACAAATCTAAGTAAGTTTCTTCTCTTCTTCAATTCAAATTACAGGTTCACATTTCCAATTCACCTCTTTCCCCTTCCCAAAAAAAAAAAAAAAAGTGACACAGCTTTCTGCATCTATAATAGAAGAGATATTACCAGAAAGGACAGCATAATTACATTCAGAAGGCTGTCATATTTTAAAATATCTTAAAGCACATTTTCAACAGTTTTTCACTGTGGTCATAACAACTGAGGCATAAAAAAAGATATATGATTTTGTACAAGTATATAAAATTTCACCTTTGTAAAGTTTGTCACTGTGGAAAAGATGTTTCTGTATCTGAAGAATAAATGTGCTTAGCAAACTGCAGGTGCAGCTGACAATAAGTCAATTGTTTCATAGCCCCTCCCTGAAAAGTGTATTTCCCCGATGTACTGAGAAAAGTCACAACAATCTTTTGCCCATGTTCACCCAAGAGCATTTACCGGTACTTTGCAGTCACACCTGAGCAGATTATGGCAACCATTTCTCCCCCAGCCACAACATCCTACTTAAGTGTGATGAGAGTTTGCTAGGCTGAGGAGAGGGGAATTTCAGCAACTAAAAACTGACTTCTCCAATTGCAACTACAAAGGGAATTTTAAAGTAGCAAATACAGTTTGTTCAAATCAGAATTTAGCTTTTACAAGGATAAAACCTACTACAGTACAGATTTTATGATGTAAGTATCTTAGTATTTTTTTTGCATGGCAACGAGAAACTTGCATGGTGTTGTTTTAGTATCAGTTTGTAATACCTGCTATTAAAAAAAATCAAAGACTGAAGTGCAAAACTGGAAGTAACCAATTAACTCTCTGCATGTCATACAGGTTCAAAACTGTAATGTTTCCAGTAACCTGAACAGCGAAGGGGGTATTTTCTTCATTTGCCAAATTAATTCAGACATAACTACAAGTCTTGTACCTTCTCTGCATCGATTTGTGAACGTGTATGTAAGGTTCCCTTACTCCATAGGTATCTACCAGCTCCATAATTCCCATCAATATTGTTGTCCATGTGCATATCCTCTCAAGCTGGTAATTGGAATTCACAGTGGTTTTCAAGTCATAACCCCATAACTTTGATGTTATTACCCTGTTTATGCAGAATCCTGACCTTCACGACTACTTCTATCTTTACGTTAGGGTTCAGCACCAATTTAAAAAAATCTGTTATCTGAGAAAGAGGTCAGGACAAACCTGTGCATGTTTCTATTCCTTCCATCAACAGTCTCTTTTCTGTCTGCCCATTGAGACTTCTGGTATATATCTATGTTTTGTTCAAAGATCTCTTACATCGACATTATGCTACAAAGGACAACAATGCAAATTATTTTCACTTTGGTTACTCTTGTATTTGATAACATTTGGCTTGAAGTTCATTACATTACTGTCTCAAGTGTGACAGATCATCCCTGTGCACTGCTCTACAAGACAGCAAACCCCATGCTTTTCCCTGGGGTACATACAACTATGTTGCTAGAAGCAACAGCATAAATGCTGAAACGCAAGAAAATTCAGGTAGGCATCTGCCCAGAGAGGAAGAAAAGGGAAGAGCTGGTTTTGCATTGGAGTCCTGATTTAAATACTTTTAAATTATCAGCACTGAAATGCCCAATGAACAATTTTTAACTTTTCAAATTTGGGCATAAAATTCAACCAACTGAAATTCCTGAAAGAATGCCCTTTTTGAAACTAGTCAACAGAAACAGCAACAAAATCCACCTGGAAATCTCCTTTAATGCCAAAATAATGAATCTGTATAAAATAATCTCTCTTACTGATTTAAGAACAGAACAGTAACAAAAAAAAACCCTTTGCATTTCAAGTGACAAAATAATAAGCAGACTAACGTATCATTTTCTAAAAGGAACCTAATTAGCTTAGGTAGGAAAAACAACATAAATATTTCAGTTTGGAGAGTCCCTGGAACTATTCTATATTCTAGTCCAGAGTATTTCTCCACTTACTTGTATTTACAATATTAAACAGCTTAGTCTGCGGTAGCATTCAAAACATGTATCCATAATCCTGCTCAGATAATAACTGCATGGAAGCACAACCTACATCTACACTGACAGCCAATACGGTGGGGAAACATTTAATACATGGAAAAAGTCCTTGACCTGTTTAAGCCATTGTTCCTTTACATCAATTTAAAATTCATTAACTTAAAATAAAAAGTTGTTGGCATCCTTAATTTATCTGTTGTTCTGGAGGTGGCCCCTGGAGGAGCGGCAGAAGGTGTATCTGTCATTGATCTTTCCCATATAATTCTTCCACCAAACATTTTAACAACATTAACATTTCCACACCTACACACTCAACCTTCAGATAAACATTAGCTAAATCTCACCAAAGTGAAATACCTTCATAAATGCTTCTCCTCACACACACCTCCTTTCTTCCTAACCTTGGTATCGTCCTTGAAAGTTAACTCTCCACTTCTCCCATATTGCCCAACTAGCTCTATCTTCGTGACAGTTTTTCAGTTCCACAACTGGCAAATTTTTGGTTCCACTCCCTGCTTAAAGCCATTAACTTGGGCAACTGAACACCCCTGTGAGTGTCCTTGTCCAATTCTCACTGGCTCGGCACTTGTTTCACAATGAGCCGGGAAATTTTTTTGACTTCTTACTTTATTCGCTTCCACTTGCTTCACAGAAGGATGTCTCTCCCCCTGTCCCTTCACCAAGTTACTGCCTGACATTAGAAGCAGGATCCCCTTCAAATTAATGACATCATTCTAGTGTTTTCTGAAAACTCTAATTTCAGTTTCACTCATTCTTTTAGTACAATCTTACAGGAGGCACAGTGCAGTTAATTTTTTGCAGAGGAATCTATTTACAAAGAAGGAAGCAAACTTTAACAGAACGTTATCATGAAGTGGGTGTGCACTCCTTGATAAAGTATGCCATGTCTCATGCAGCACACCAGACTGTCAGCTGAAGAACCACCACACTTCCTCATATCTTACCTAGCTCTCTTTCTGTAGAGCTAAGCATGTTCTCCCTCAAAGGCCACTCTTCAAAGCTCCACTCATCTCCACCAACGAACATAACAGAATATTTTTACTTTTTTGTGCACTTACAGCGTATCATTTTTTGTTTCTGGTAGACAAAACAAGCAGCAGAACGCACCCGTTCCTCCCTGCATACCAGTTTTCCCACTACCCGGAGGAAACCCTTCAGCCCTCCCCAATCCACAGCTCTGGATGCTGGTTTCTCAGCTTTCCTCCCGCACATGGATTTACTCACTAGGGGTCATTGGTAAATCGAGGAAGTCGTGGCTGAGGGAAACCATAGAGATGACAGTAGAGTACATCAAAGCAGTAGCAGCACATCTCCGCTGTCACCACCAGGTTCTTGGTGCTGTTGGCAGTTCCGTTGGGCCGAGTAAGTGGGCTCAGAGCTCCTGAAGTGGGATTCATTCGAGTAATTGGGGAATTTCCTGGGCCCAAAGTCAAGTCAGATACGTTCTCCCTTCCATTATTCCCATCTGTATGCTGGTGGTTCTGAAGAGGACCTGAACTGGAGCCTGGTACAGTTGTGGCCTGATTCCCATGACTGTGCGTTCCACTCCCAGACAATTTGGGCTTCTTTACCCCACAACAGCCAGCTGCCAGCTTGGGCTCAAGTGGGGGAACACAGCGTCTTTTTCCCATCCTGCTTCAAAACTCGCTGCCTGGAGCACTGCAGAACCCTGGCAAGGAAGGGGTGGGAGAAAAAAAGCAATACACAAAACAGTTACAGGTGAAAAACCAACAGCTGCTTCCCTGTTTCTCCCAAGGTGTCAGAGGTTTGCTTTTCCAACAAAAAGAGGAAGAAAACCCTCGCAATGTTTAACCAAGTACAGAACTAAAGCCAAGCGAGCAGAACGGGTGGTTTTTTTACATATAAATTGAAAGAGTATGTACACAACACGCATGAAGTCACACAAAGTTATTGGCGAGGTGTACTGATAAGCGGCTCATCACAAAAAACCCATAACCAGCCTTCTCATAAACGGAATGAAACTGTGGGAGAACAGAAGAAAAAAAGACAAAAAGACTTTGGACTACAGATATAGCCCATCCACTACTTTTCCGGATCACCTATTCCCCTTCAGCCAATGCCTGCCCCAATGGCAAACAAACTACTGAAAAACCACAACCGCATTCCCCTTCCTCATTCTCAGCAGACGAGCAACAATTCTGAATGACACCTTCAGGGTTGGACTCCCAGGGGTGCTGCCCTTGATTTAGCACTAGCCTAAGCAAGACGGAGAGAGAAGCTACAAGCACTGAACCACCATTTTCTAAACAACAGGCTATTTTCCAGACCCCGTGAACTAGAATCTGCATTTACTTTCTAGGATTAAGTAAATCACTAGTGCTTAGAAGTAAACGTCTAGGGGGTACAGTCAGGATATGCAGGAGAGCAAGAGCTGAAGACTGCGTAGTCTGAACAGAGGGAAGTGATAATGGCAGGAAACAGAGATGGTATAAAAAAAAACAACCCAGAACAGTGTTTTGCTTGTAAAGAAGAGAACGCTAGCTCTTGCATCACAAGAAGGGGTGGAACAAATACAGGATGAAAGCCTATGCAGACAAAAATGAACGAAGATGATAGGCAAGGACCACATGTCAATGGTAGGAACTTGTGTAATACCATCATCAGCATGAGATCTAAACACACAAAGGGTGGGAAAAGCAGTTCTCCATCTGTCAAATGGGGCTAAAAGCACAGACACCGAAGTCACAGAGAACACCATGGAGAACTGGAAGTCACACTCAGCTCTTGCAAGTACCAGGCTACTACTTTAAGCACCACAGCATCCCTCCAACTCCTCCAAGTATTTAACTGACGGTGGAACTGACGGCACATACACAGAATGGGGGTGTACGATAAGCACCGAAATTCATGGTGTGACAACTCCCTTCCTTCTCTGCACATACAAACAATGTAAACTTTATCCATGAAGTTTCATCAGCCATCGTAAGAGTTGTACGATCCTGAACTGAACCAGGACTGGTGTAAGACGTGTTGAGATGCGCCCCTCAACACACAACACATACACCTCCAGTGCTTACTCTGTTTAGGAATCCTCACCTCAAGGTTTTAGAAAGATAATCTGCACAAGGAACAATTTACAAGATGTAACGAAAATTATCCTTTTTGCTTTGATCGCTACCTTTGTAATAAAAAAACCCTCACCACGAAAAAGAAAAGTATAACTTTGACAAAGTGAACATGTCATTTTTTTCAGTGCCTATTAAAAGTTACCTACTATGGCTCAGTGAAGCTGCTGGGATAGATGAGCCTTTTCAGGTTATCACTGACGGCTAGCCGCATTTAGGCGGAAAAATTATTTATTTATTTGAAACAATAACTCTTCATTTTAAATTGGAGACGTGGCAGGGGGCAGAAAAGAGGTCTTCTCCATTTATCGTCCTCTGCAGCAGCAGAAGGGGCCTAACAAAGGCGGCTGCACCCACCGCTGCTCGGCTCCCGCGAAGGGCACCGTTCCCCGGTGGCGGGAGGCCTTTTTTTTGCCACTCTCCTCTCTGAGCTCACCCTGCCCTGGGGAGAAACTTCTGCACGGAACAGCGCGCTTCGGCAGCACGCACAGCCCGAGGAGACGCTGACTCTGCAGAGGGCCTCAGCCCGCTACTTTGTGACGGGACCCGGCGCGCCCGCCGGAGA